CTTCACATTTAGCTTCAAGCATTGATTTATGACATGGCTGACTGAGTACCTGAAGTCTGGAGCACCTTACCCTCTGTTTCTAAAACTGGGAAAGAAATATTACAGACTATAGTGATCATTGATTTCCAAATCATCCATTTAATCAGAATGAGAAATTAAAGAACCAGAGGCTGAGAGTTCTACAATACATTAGTCTAGAATGTGTTTGGGTTGCTTGTGTTTTATCAGCCTTCGATAGAAAAAAAAACAACTACTGCCTCCAGTTTAAATCCTAGCTCCATTTAACTGCTTTATGCATTTGAGAAAGCAATCTACAGATCTCAAAAGATTATGCCTTTAATTTTATTTATTTTATTTATTCATCAAATTTCTATACTGTCCATCACACTTTATTATTTCTTGTTTGGGGGGAAAATGCTACCAGAGTCCTGATTTGAGGAGCAGTTAGCAATTTACAGTCAAAGCTGCCTCCCAAAATTGTTATAAGATAAAGTTATAGAGTTCCATTGGGGGAAAATATATTTTACACTATATTTTCTGGAACTAAAGTAGGACTTGAACTGAATAGAATTATAATAAGTCAAGCCCTAAGTTTATTAAAAATCATTTTGCACTTCCACAAGCAATTGCAAAATAATAATGAAGAAAAAATTAAAATTAATGAAACCATTAAAATGGTAAAATCAAATAAACACACCCAAAGCATTCAGTCAAATGTGAGAGATAATAGAAAGGTGTTAATCTGATCCCTGAGGGATATTGATCCCGTAGCCTTGCAAAGCTGTTTAAAGAATATGTTATCACTTTTGCCAATCATTACCACTATCTGCCTTATTTGGAACACGTTTTACTTTCCACGGTTGGTTCAAAAATGTAAAATCAGGCAAGCATGCATTCCTTACAGATTAAAATTCCCCTCATGGCTACCATGTTCTTTGTTATAAAACTTCATAAACACATATTTGTCATCGGTCATGACAAAACTTTGTTCTTAGATTGTACCAAAGTACAATCAAAGTGTGTTTAATATTTTTCAGATGGTTAATTATGTGATAGATGTGGAAAAGTTGGTGTGTTGGGTAGAACCAGAATTCTCTGGAACTGAGCTCAGCAACCTTTTGAGAATGTGGGAGATACATTCTTTGGTAATGAAGGAAAAACTACCTGATGTGTATTTCAAACTCTGTGGAGATTCTCAGTCATCCAGGTCAGAGTTATCTCAAAGGTGCTTTTTTTTCCCCTCCAAAAGGCAACTGGACTGTTGGTTTTTTTCCACATTGCAGTAGAAGAAGAAAACATTTTGCTTCTCACCCAAGAAGCTTCATCAGTTCTGATTGGGGGGGGGGGAGATGGAAGGATATGTTCTGATAGGATGTGGGGATTTATTTCTTTGCAGTCATCTGGTCCAGTGGTGGGTTTCAAAAATTTTTTACTACCAGTTCTGTGGCTTGGTGGGCTTGGCAGGGGAAGGATACTGTAAAATTTCCATTCCCCCCCCCCCATTCCAGGGAAAGGTTACTGCAAAATCCCCATTTCCTCCCAATCAGCTGGGACTTGAGAGGCAGAGAATAAATGGGGATGGGGCCAGTCGGAGGTGGTATTTACCGGTTCTCCAAACTACTCAAAATTTCTGCTACCAGTTCTCCAGAACTGGTCAGAACCTGCTGAATACCACCTCTGATCTGGTCATCCGGTTGTTAGCACAGGGACCATTTGGGGATTTATCTGTGCCCTCAGGGTCATCCTGAATCAGGATGCAATTGGTTGTGGAATCTTCTTGGAACTATTGAAAGGTCTGCGTTGTAGGCTGGACATAGGCAGTGTCTTATTCTGTACCTGGTTGAGCCGCAAAGAAAATGTGTGTCCAGAAACTGGAAATGAAAATAGCTTTAATGGGATCCTTTGGAGCAACCAAGATGATGCCTTGGAATAGCAAACTATATTGGCATCAGATAATCTTTAAAGTGTTCTGCAAAGCAAATCCAGCTATCAGGCCTTCAAAATAATGACTGATTTAACACATCTAGCCAATAGCTTTCATCAACAATGATGCCTTTAGTAAGCTTACAGACCAATTGAAATATCAAGGGCTGCTCGGGAATGTTTTATCAATCCACCAAGATACTCTGGTCATGATTCGTTGAGAAATAGTGCCATAACTAATATCCCAAGGGGGATTGGAGAAAAATGCTGGGAAACCTTATCACACCTGAACAGAAATACAGGAAAGGAGGAAATTGGTAAGATTCTTCACCTGACACCATGCGAATTTAAGCTTTGTCAATCAGATAAACTACTTTACAGATAAGAACTTTAGAAGGATCTTGCTAGGTCAAACTAAGGCTGAGATTAAATTTTTCCAAAGCTATAATTCTGAGAATCATTCTGATACACTTTTTTTCCTTACCTTTCCCTCCAAATGTTTTTAAAAAGTCAGTTTTCACTCAAATATTCCTCACCCTTACTTCCTCATCATGTTCATCATTAAAGTAAACCTATAGAATATGGCTTAAAATTACTAAAAGGGCTATCCTTTTGGAACATATCCAAATCCCTTAGCATATTTCACACCCATTGTTCATATAATTATACCTTGACTAAAAAAAAGTATTTTCTCTTCTCTAGCCTGAATTCCAGATCAATAAAAAGTGGAGTCCAATTTAACAACTATCTTGGTACCAGCAATCGTTTTGCCACCTTCAAACATTCATCATCTCGAGTAAAAGAAATCTCTGCAGATTTTACTTCGCTAGTCATTGCCAACTATAGGGGGCAGAGCTTCTCCATTTTCAGGTCATTTAACCAGCACTGTCTGAAGACATTTCCACAGTCATGTGACGAGTATGACATCATAGAGCACTGTTTCTTCCCAAACAAAGTTGTACCTATATCTACTTGCATTTGCATTCTTTCGAACTGCTAGGCAGTTCTGCATGCGCAAAAGCATTTGGGGCTGTTGGGTGGAGGCTCCTGCCACCACCACTATTGGTTCACCCGAACCAGGCTGAACCAGCAGAAACCCACCTCTGCAACAAGCCGTGGTGAGCCCCCGCACTGGCCCAACCATCTCAAGATATCCTTACATTCTTGGTTGACAAGTAATAACATGTGCAAACTGTGAATAGTTATAATTGTGGGTGCTTTTTTTCCCTTTCCAGGCTCGAAAGGCTCACTTCACCATCCTTCTAAAGTTTCATGGTATTTGCAACCACACAAACCGCACAAAAAAGAAATTGGAAACAATTATACCCACATTTTGAAAGGCCTTGCTTGTCATTTTTCCACTCAATGTAATAACTCCTCTGCGCCTTCATTTGTTAACCTCCTATTTCTTTAATTAATTGCTTCCCTACCCCCTTCATTGCTAATACTGGAAATATTGAGAAGAGAAGGGGGGAGGAGAAATCACAAACCCAACAACATCTACCAATTAAATCAAATTTGTGTAGGCTATTAATTAAAGGTCAATTATTTTTTTGAAAAATGGAGGGGAGAGATTATTTTCTCTGGAGGCCTGGAAGAAGATATACTGATGAAAGTTGAGCTCAGTGAACAATTTCATAAAATTTTGGAAATCTTTAAGAATGGATTGGAGAATTTAAAAATGACAACTAAATGGCTGTAATGCACTTTCTATTTTACTCCAAGAAAGACGGTCACCAATTCAGAAGAAGTAAGACTAAATCATTTAAGCACTGTTACACTCAACTTTTTCAGGTAAAGAACATTTATTCAAAAATAAAAATAAAAATTGAATAACAAAAATATTATTTTCTATATCTTCAGCATCTCTCTCATGCCTTTCTTTTCCTTTTTCCAGTAAGCTTTCTGGCTTATTTCATTTTCACTTTCCCGTGTAGGCTTGAACAGTGGTTGACTCCATAAAAAGGCTAATTTCAAAAATTAATTGGGTGGATAAGGCAGAAAAAGGGGGAGGTGGGTATTAACACAAATTCATTAAGAGTAGTTCAAAAAATATTTGCTACAATTCATTTTAAAATGGCAATAGAGACCTTCAGGGTTCTGAATCAGGCTGTGCATAGATATAGCAGAAAGCTCTTCCTATGAGCATGGCAATTTTTCCCCTCTGATATTTGGATGGGTTTTGCCATTGCCAATTTAGTCAATTCTCAAGACTCCTGACATATGTTTTAAAATCCACTGCCTTATGAATTTTATGTCATTTTTGAATCAAGACCAGAGGTGGTATTCAGCAGGTTCTGACAGGTTCTGGAGAAGCAATAGCAGAAATTTTGAGTAGTTTGGAGAACCGGTAAATACCACCTCTGGCTGGCCACACCCCCATCTATTCTCTGTCTCCTGAGTCCCAGCTGATCGTCTGGATCTTCTTTTGTTGCCCTGCACAGGAGAACGGAGCTGTAAAGCAGGTTAGTGGGATGGGGAGGGAATGGAGATTTTGCAGTATCCTTCCCCAAGGAGTGGAGTGGGAATAAGGATTTTGCAGCATCCTTCTCCCCACCACACCCACCAAGCCACGCCCACAGAACCAATAGTAAAAAAAATTGAATCCCACCATTGCAAGGACATGCAGTCACTAGAGGCAGGGGAGGCGTGGCCTCACCAGTCATGAGGAAAAGGAAAGAATTTTAAAGAATTNACACACACACACACACACACACACACACAAAGTGGGGTTAGTGACTAATGAGTGGCTTATATAAAGAGGAACCACTCATATAGCAGAACTGACTTTGAACTTCATTTTTAAAAATTCTTTCTCATAACATAGGATTGGTCCAGTTTTATAAGTACATGCCAAAATGTTTTCTGAGGAATAGATTATTATGGAGAAAAACCTACCTATAGTTGAAAATTAGTATTGGCACACAATCAATCAGTTGTTTTCAATCCTGTGCTTTAAGCATACACATATGCTTAGTTAAAATGCAAGATCCTGAACAGTAATCTTACATTCGCTAAGCTATGCAAATATAAATATTGCAAGAAGTCTGCAAGCAGACAAAATGTGTTTTCTAGTATCAAAATTTTATACTTACTGACAGCTGCCCAGGTAGGACTTGTGGTGCATCTTTTAAAGCTCCTGGGCTAGTAGGGGAAATAACAGAAATTGAAGGCCGTTCCATTTTTTGAGATTCAAATGAGCTAGAACCTGGAGAGAGAGAAAAGAAAATAGAATAATAATAAAGAACAGCTTGCCTCTAGATATTGTGAATGCCCCAACACTGGAAGTCTTTAAGAAGATGTTGGATAGCCATTGGTCTGAAACGGTATAGGGTTTCCTGTCTAGGCAGGGGGTTAGACTAGAAGACCTCAAAGGTCCCTTCCAACTCTGCTATTGTATTGTATTGTATTGTATTAAAGAACTTGAAATATATCATCTTAAAAGTGAAGAAGGTATGAGTAAAAAGAGAGCACTGGCCAAAATAATAACAATAATAACAGAAATATTGTTATTTCTTTTTTTGCCCTATCTGCAAAAGAAATGGTAGAAAGAAAAAGAGGAAAAAAGAGAAGAAAAATGAAATGAAATAAATGAAATAAAAACACTTAAATAGTTAGCAGTGCCAAAAATCTGTTACACTTTCAACAAAACATTAAGTTTTAAATACCTGTAAACACACTATAGCTTTTCAGCAAGGAGAGCTTTTGAAACTTATAAATCAAGGAAAAATCTAATGTAATTCCCCTAGTATGATATTTTGCATTTATTGTAGTCTATACATGAGGAGATATATTTGCTAAAAGATGAGGAAAGCCCTGATATGGTAGAATTGAACAGGAAAGAACAGAGAAATGATTGCTTTTGCAAAATCTTTTTCCTTTGAAAAGGGTAAGGCATGATAAGGACTTTCTTTTTTTTTTTTTAAAAGAGCCTCAGAAAAAAATGAATGTTCCTAGAATTATTTCTCAGTTGTACTATAATGGATAATTGTGCCACTAGAGTTGTGAAAGGAAGAAAAGGAAGGGATAAATATCAAAGTTGAGAATTCACTCTGTATTCCTCTAAAAATTATGCATTTGTTTTTCTACAAACAATCTAGCTTATACAGATAATTGAGTTATGACAGTTTACTTCAAAGTTACAACTTCAGCACCCGTTACTTATGTCAAAGTTCCAAGGTTACGAATGTTGCAGCACCACAGCAGTCGTTCACCCTTACAAACAACTGCAGAGGCATTGCAACATTCGTTCTGCCTATTCCCCTCCCTGACCCCCCACCCCCCCACCCCCCAAGCAGGATCTTCCTAGGAACTGGGCCTGTGGAGACTCACTTACCTTGCAAAGATCTAGCCGGCGGTGTCCTCTCCAGCCTCTCTGCCCCGGTTTCTTTGCCTGCATCCCGGCAAGCTCTGGTTGTCTTTGCCAAAAAGCTTTTCATGCAAAGAACGGAGAGCGAGAGGGACCTGAATCAAAAGCTTTTTGCAAAGACGACCGGAACCTGCCAGGATGTAATCACTAGCCCCTATAGGGTTCGGTTGGCTTTCCTCAAGGCTTTTGGCATGAAGAACAGAGGCCGGGAGTGGTGCGCACACTCCTCCTAGTCTCCGTTCTTCTTGCCAAAAGCTTTTTGCAAAGATGACTGGAGCCTGCAGGGAACCAGGCAAAGAAATCACAGCAGAGAGGCTGGAGAAGACACACTTTGGTTGGCCATCAAGATTGTCAAAAGGTAAGTGCTGTGAAAATCCGACGGGACAGAAAGGGGGGATATCTCAGTAGGTCATGGGGGCTTGAGGGGGTCAGAAGCACTAGTCTCCCCATGGTTTCCCCATCTTGAGATAGCTACCTCATGCGCACTTAACAACCTGAGCACTCGATTAGTGAATGCATTGGGTAAATCAGGGAGAGATCACATTCAATTAACATGATCTCATTAACGAACAGGGACGTGCAGTCACTAGAGGCAGGGGAGGCGTGGTATCACCAGTCATGAGGAAAAGGAAAGAATTTTAAAGAATTTTTTAAAAATAATTAAAGCCAAGGTAGTTGCTACCAGATTCTAAGTCACAGTGACTTGGAACAGTGCTTAGTGTTAACTATAGGAGGAGGCCAGAGAACTAGGGGCCTCTTTTGCATAAGGAATTTTTTGCCTTTTAAGAGTTAACCAAGGGTTAAAAAGCGAAGAATTCCTTATGCAAATGAGGCACGTATTCTCTCACCTCCTGTAGAGGGCATTTTTAGAAGCTTTTTAGAGTTCTCTGGGAGCAACTAGCTCAGTCTGACTCAGAGCTCTGGCCTTTCATGAGGGCAGAGTTGAAATCCTCTCTGAAACAGCTGGAAAGGTGCGTGTGTGGGGAGGGGGGAGGAAATGAAAAGGTTTGATTGCATGCAGAACCCACGTTGCCTTTTCAAACAAACACACACACACACACAAAACACAGCTGGATAAAAGTATATAAGCCCAGCTTCCCTGAAAAGGCAACGTGATTCACCTGCAATCAAAGGCTCCGATCGGAAGGCAGCAGGGGAAGAGGGGGGGTATGGCAGAGGAGCTGCTTTCAAGCCTTTGGAAAATATATCCAATCCACCTTCCACGTTTGTGTTTGAGAGTGAATGAGTGAGAGAGGGATCCAAGTTCTCTGTGTACGTGTGTCTGTTTGAGAGAGGGGGAGGGAGGGAGAGAGGGAGGAAGGAGGGGGAGGGAGAAGAAGAAGAATGGGAAAACTTATTTTGCAAGGGGGGAAAATGCTGTCGCTTTAAATCTGAACTGAGCATGCCTGGCTGTGGAATTCTGGGAGTTGAAGTCCACAAGTCTAAAAAGCTGCCTCACCGGCCATAAAACTCACCGCATGTCACTGTTAACGAATCCCTCAAGTTACGAATGTAATTGCCAGGCTCTATTACATTTGTAAATCAAGCACTACCTGTATTCAACCAGAATTCTTTCTGTTATGCCTAGAATGGCAGAATTTGGACAACCTCAGTTGACAAAATGGGAAAATTAAGCCACATGATACGATGTCTTCTTTTCTGGGTTTGAAAACCATCATTATAGCAAAACTCTAGTTCAAAAAACTCTGATTTATGCAAAGTGAGAAAGGAGAGGGGGGGGGGGAGGCAGTTCTATATTTTAGGCTGGGGAGAAAAAGACCAAAGTGAACAGTTAAAGTCAATTTGTATGATCACTTAGGATATTTTGGTAACTTTTGAGGTTCAAAAGAAAAGCACGTCACAGTCTTATGACATGATTACTGCTGGCCAGCTTGTATCTCTATCATGTGTCAGACATTGTGAATGGTTTCCCTGGTGATATCTACTACAGCTATTTATTACCCCATGTATTTTAGCCTGAATCCTGCAGACGTTTGGTATGAATAAAATATATACAACCTCACGAAGTATTAAAAATCACTGAGGGTGGAGGAAAGACTGTGCTGGTAAACTAAGTAATACTGAAAGATATTTTATGAATCAACATTGTTCAATCTTAGCAGCTGGAATAAACTTAATACTCACTAGACTCTAGTGGAGGATGAGAAGTTTCAGGAATCCTTGGAATGTCACTGAAATAGACATATATAGACAAAATTTTGAAATGCCTTGTTGATCCACAGAGCAATGCTATAAAATAATGTTTAATCTATATACACAATTATTTACTTAATGCTATTTAATAAAACAGAAGGTTCAGATTGTCAGGCCTGCAGTTATATCCCTTTTAGGATCTTTGGCCCGCCACACTCTCTCTTACTCCATTATGCTGTTCCATTAGTGTAGTAGTTGGGAGGGGGAGTAGAAAGGAGTAGAATTGTGGAATGTGTTGTTGTCATTCTTTTCTAAAAGCCCAAGGTCATCTTTTCTCTCTGCACCTCTGCACCTGACCGGAACCAGCTGGGTGGAGATGCCGGCGTGGAAGAAGATGATTGGACCATGTGATGGATTTGTGGGTGTGGGGACAAGATCATGACCTTTCAACTGGGTGGGAATCCTAGGTAACTTCCAGAATTGGGATTCCACAGATGTACCAAGATGTCTGATTTATTAAATTGGAACTTTAAGGATTGTTTTGCCTTGGACTCTGATTTAATTCTACATGATACTTGGAACGCTGACACAGATGCTGAATGTTTATTCAAAAAAAAAAATTAATCCAAGATTTAATGCTTTTGACATATCTCTGAAGAAATGATTTGCTCAATTTTTTAAGAAAGATTGGGAACTCATCTCTCTTAAGGGATACAATTTGAAAATGAAACAAACAGCAATTTCAATGTAAATATTTATATTGTAGTCTGGCAGTCCACAATATTTTTCCACCACACAACAGTACAAAGTAAATAGGAGAGGAGTGAAGCTACAAAACACTAATTTGAGGAAAAGGGGGGATTTAATTCACTAAAATGTTTATACACACACCTGAAGGAGTTTGCTGAATTAAACCTACAAAAGAACCTTATAATAACACAGAGAGAAAAAACAGAAAATAAACTTGGAAGCAATTAGGCAAACAAACATAATCCCCATTTTAAATACATTGTGTTACAATATATATGGAAACACACTTAATTTCATTTCTATAACTAAATATGTCATACTGGATTTTATTCCAGAAATATATATGGTCTTCTAAAATATAAACTGTCAGATTTTTTACCTTTAATCCCAAATGATCCAAGGAAATTTTGTTATACAGGAATTCAGAAAGATCATATCCTGCCTTTAATTTAATCTAAATGCCATTGTTATAGACTTCCCCCCTCCATAAGACTCCACTTCTTTTAAAACATTATATTAAGAACAATAGTACCAACACTGAAAAAGCAATATAGTAAATAAAATGGTCATCCCTCCCAATGTCCAGTAATAGCAGCAATCTTAGAATTAAAAGCTCTAGGAGGAAGCTTAGCTTTCCCACCTTTCTAAATGATAGAAGGGTGGGTGAGGAACCATCATGTTTCATTCTCCTGGCAACCTTCTACAGACTTCATTGGGGAGGAGGGAATCAACATCCTAACTGGTTGATAAGATTTTTATGAGATAATCCTAAATGTATTCATGCATAAGCTAGTAAGGGCTGTACAAATGATAACCACATGGTTATTTTCTGTAGCCAATGTTGTGTAGGCAAAACCGATGGTATATGATTATGGTGGCCCTCACCCATTGATAAGAGGGCTGCTGGATTTTGCTACAGCTTCCTGAAAGTCTTCAAGAGGAACCCTTATCATAGCACATTGCAGTATTCTACCCTACAGGGGATGAGGGCATTTTGCAGCTAACAATTCAGATAGATACATGATGGTGTGCTTCATAGCATAACATTCATCCTTTCCCAGCTGATTTAGTACACTGGAAGGTGAAAATGAAGTGGTAATTAATAGAAAACAGACTGGATCCAAACTTGGTAAGGTTTACCATAGATCCATTAAAATAAATGGCTCTTAAATTAGCTGTAAATCTGGAGAAGCCCTATAGCTGGAGATGTCTAACTGGTGATGTGATCTGTGCCCAAATATACAAAACATGGCATACATTAGTAAGAACATTTTCTCCTTATAGTTAATATTATAGCTGGACATTTCCAGATTTGCTGCCAAGGACTTTTGTCTTGAGAATCCAAGTGCAAGAATGCTAAAGTTACGCTTTCATTATTTTTTTGCTTTACATTTTTAGTATGCCAATGTGTATCTTATTGTAATATTATCTGCTTTTATATGCACATGCCTGCATTTAAGAGAGAGAGAGAGGGAGGGAGAGAAGAAGGGAGGGAGGGAAGGAAGGAAGGCTAATAAAGAAATTGCAAAGCAAACTTTACCCAATAGGCCTTGAAACAATAATTTCAACTTGAGGTTCTGATTTGGATTCTAAAATAATATTGTAAACTTCTTCATTTGTAGCTCCAGGAAGTGCTTTACCATTCCACTCTAGAACTTCATCACCTGAAATTTAAAAACAAAGGATATATTCTTTTATATGATTTCACTCACAGAGATAAATGCATAGAGAAATATAAATTGCTACGATAGCTTCTTTTCTAGGCAATATCTCTGGGTGTATATTGAGAGATAATAAAACTTTGCAAATAAAAAAAAATCACTCTTCTTAAACATTCTTCTGACCTCAAAACAACTGAGCTTCCCACCAAAACGGAAATGGCTGGACAGAAGGATGTCAGGAAGCCTAACTGGGCCATTACCCAGTTCTGCTATCACACATCACAACATGCAATGGTGTTAGTATAGCTAATTAGAAGACAGCACGTGCTATTAAAGAGGAAGAACTTGCTACCATTTCTTCCTCTCTCAGTACTAGTACCAGGACTTCTTAATCAGTACATTCAATCAGTTAGTCTGTCTGTCTGTCTATTGTTGATAGAACACATTGTAAGCTGCCTAGAGTCACTTCAACAGTGACATGGACAGCATATAAATTTAATAAATAAATAAATTCTAGCCAGCCATGAGCAGAAGATTAGCCAGGCAGCATGAGATAGATTAAAATCTATTTAAAAGGTCAGCTGAAAATTGAAACTCTTCAGGTGATTTTAATATTTAATTTTCTCAGGAGGTCTCAGATTTTCTTCCTGTCGGGCTATGAGCAGCTTAGCCATTTTGACATTAGTGTGCAATGCAGCATACTTCCACTGTAACACAGTTGGTTGATTTTTTATTATCTCAAGGCAAAACCTGATCGTTTCTTTCCTTCGGTCCAACAAATGTTTTTGCAGAGCTCTTGGACTTGCAAATGCTTCCCATTATTCTTTATAACAAGTCTCTGGTGCAGAGAAGGACATTTCCTTCTTTCTGACAAGATTATTTTTCTGTTTTAAAAAGAACAATAAGATCTGATATTTCAGCAGGTTTGATTTGCAGAAAGGTGCCGTTTGTTCATTAGCAGATGTGTGTGTGTATGTGTGTGTGTGTGTTTTAGTGTCACAACCCCTGGTATGCCATGTGGGAGGAAGCTAACTGCTTCCATTCTGTCTATCGGCTCGTCACAAGAGACCATCATGACAGAAACCCAATATTTTTACTGTTGCCTTTGTTACATTTGTGTTGTATTTGTGCTGATAAATAAATAAAGGGAGACATATTTATATATTTATATATTTATATATTTATATATTTATTTATATATTTATATATATATATATCTCCGAGCACAAATACAACACAAATGTAACAAAGGCAACAGTAAAAATATTGGGTTTCTGTCATGATGGT